TTTTTTTTTTTTTTTTTTTTTTTTTTTTATTGTTAATGGTGTAAAATCACTTTGGCTGGCATAGAATGAATTAACCCCAAAAAACTTAATCACTTGAAATAAAAATATCTAGAAATTATTATGTAATTTATTAAATAAAAAATAAGTTTTTTGATATTAAAAACTTCTCATCACCTAACTATTTGTACTTTACTATTTAATAAAATTCAAACTGCAAAATAAAAGATTTTAAAAATATTGCAAATCTATTCTTGCCTCAACCCTGACATTTTAAGGGTAGAGATTGGGCTTGTCACGTTTCTAAATTCCTAGTCCAGCAACAACAGGTAGTTAAAGCCCAGAAAAGACTTTAAAACGACGTCGCTTGTATTGTTCCAACGTCAATGGGTGCATTGGGAGTAATGCTGCTTCCGCTTCATCAGATGAAATTCGGCAAAAGGTGCAGATCACCCCCTAAACTCACCAACTGGTGGCAAATCACCCCCTCAACCCCAACTGGTGGCAAATCAACCCCTCAACTCACATGCAGTGGCAAATCAGCCCCTTTCTTAACCCTTCCGTTAACACTTAATGGTCCGCTCATCAACCCTTCCTCTGTGTTTGACGTGTCCTTCTTTTTGCTGAGGTGGATGCTGAGGTGGAGGCACAGCTGGACAAATACCTCAAAATCACCAAATTAAGCAAAATTCTTGAATGCAGATGTCTATGAATAACAAGGAGGAAACAACTTGCCCTCAGCGGGTGACTTTCGGTCGGATGTCAAAGACGCTACCATTGAAATAATCCAGTATTTGTATCTCCACGATTCCCCGTTCACCATCAATATCTACCCTTTCCTCAGTCTCCATGGAAACAATCATTTCCCTATTGAGTTTGCTTTCTTTGATGGTGAAAGCACACGGGTTAAGGACAGTGACCGGATTTACACGAACGTGTTCGACGCGAACCTGGATACTCTGGTTTCAGCCCTGGACAAAAACGGATTCTCCAATATGACGATTATCATCGGAGAAGTTGGTTGGCAAACAGATGGAGACAAAAACGCGAACACCCAGAATGCAAGGAGATTCAACCAGGGTTTGCTCGAACATGCTATGAGCGAGAACGGAACCCCAGCTCGGGGTGGCCCAATTAATGTCTACCTCTTTAGCCTAATCGACGAGAACGCCAAGGACATTAATGCCGGAACCTTCGAGAGGTATTGGGGAATCTTCGAGTTCGACAGAAAACCCAAATACGAACTGGATTTAACGGGAAAGAACGGAAACAAAGGTCTAGCTGCAGTGGAGGGGGTAAGGTATCTGAGC